ATCTCAATAGGTTTCAGGCCAGGACTTTGACAAGGCCGCTCCAAAGTCTTAATTTTGTTTTTCTTCAGCCATTCAGAGGTGGACTTGCTGGTGTGTTTTGGATCATTGTCCTGCTGCAGAACCCAAGTTTGCTTCAGCATGAGGTCACGAAAAGATGGCCGCACATTATCCTTCAGGATTTTTTGGTAGACAGCAGAATTCATGGTTCCATTTATCACAGCAAGTCTTCCAGGTCCTGAAGCAGCAATCACACTACTACCACCATATTTTACTGTTGGAATGATGTTCTTTTTCTGAAATGCGTTGTTACTCTTACGCCAGATGTAATTGGACACACACCTTCCAAAAAGTTCAACTTTTGTCTCGTCAGTCCACAGAGTATTTTCCAAAAGTCTTGTGGTCCACTCATCTTTGCAGAATTGTTATAATTCAGCCACATTGGAAGGTTTTTGGGCATGAACCGCCTTTTTAAGCTTATGGCACAGCATCTCAATAGGTTTCAGGCCAGGACTTTGACAAGGCCGCTCCAAAGTCTTAATTTTGTTTTTCTTCAGCCATTCAGAGGTGGACTTGCTGGTGTGTTTTGGATCATTGTCCTGCTGCAGAACCCAAGTTTGCTTCAGCATGAGGTCACGAAAAGATGGCCGCACATTATCCTTCAGGATTTTTTGGTAGACAGCAGAATTCATGGTTCCATTTATCACAGCAAGTCTTCCAGGTCCTGAAGCAGCAATCACACTACTACCACCATATTTTACTGTTGGAATGATGTTCTTTTTCTGAAATGCGTTGTTACTCTTACGCCAGATGTAATTGGACACACACCTTCCAAAAAGTTCAACTTTTGTCTCGTCAGTCCACAGAGTATTTTCCCAAAAGTCTTGGGGATCATCAAGATGTTTTCTGGCATAACGGAGACAAGTTTTTATGTTCTTTTTGCTCAGCAGCGGTTTTCGTCTTGGAACTCTGCCATGCAGGCCCAGTCTCTTTCTTATGGTGGAGTCATGAACACTGACCTGAACTGAGGCAAGTGAGGCCTGCAGTTCTTTGGATGTTGTTGTGGGGTCTTTTGTGACCTCTTGGATGAGTCGTCGCTGCGCTCTTGGGGTAATTTTTCCTTTAAAAACTGCATGTTGTGTTTACTTGTGTGATCTTTGACTAATATTAGAATTTGTTTGATGATCTGAAACATTAAAGTGTGACTACCGTGCAAAACAATGAAAAATCAGGAAGGGGGCCAACACTTTTTCACACAACTGTACATATGATCGGCAGGATATAGAGCCGCCGATCGTATGTATATCAAACAGCTGGTAATGGCTGTAGAGAACGGGCGTGTTTGTTCTGCCCATGGGGGCGCACGCGAGCAGCAAAAAAAGCTGTCTAAAGAGGGCAACCTGCGAATCTGAGTCTGCCGTCCTCCGTTTTTTCTCAACGAGCGGACGGCAGGAGTTTAATTTAATACACAAAGTGGTCAGCCAATCAACTGTGACACAGTAACATCACTGAAACAAGAAATACTACACAAATTAACATTCAGGCAGGTAGGACTGCACCCAACTAATCGATTAATCAATAATAGATAAGAATAGTTGTCAACTATTCTCATTATTGATTAGTTGGTTGGATCTCCTAGATCTCTCCTCCACACTGGGAGGAGGGCACAGCAAGCAGTGGGTGGTTGCAATAGCCAGCCTGCTATTGCAATTTGAAAGGGCCAATATCATGCGGGCTATTGCACCAGCCCACTACCTGCTGTATTTACATTCAGCTGCCATGTAAGGAATCTTGCCACTGACAACTGGCATTCCCTGGCTGAAGGTATTCAAGTGCCATGCGCTTACAATACAATTATTATAAAAAAAAATTATAAAAAGGTGGCAAAAAGTCATTTTCGGTTTTGGCCTGACAAATTCTGCACTGGGAGGTGCGTTGCAGTGCCATTCATTTCAATGGCACCCCAAAAGCACCTTCCACCCACAGTGTGATCGCCTGCACTGGAACGCACGGTACCGCAATGCCGTGCATTCCAGTGCAGTACGATTGCAAAAAATTGTGCATGCAGTTTTATGCTGAAGTAAACTTTATGTTTGTAACACTCCATTTGTGTATTTTATTTTAATTTAAGTATGATATTTAAATTTTTTTATCCGATTGATGGAAAAAATTATTGGCCAACTAATCGAGTATGAAAATAATCATTAGTTGCAGTCCTACAGGCAGGTTTACTTGATTGCATGGAAATAGTGTCCAACTTTCTTTTAAATATTGGTCTCTCCCCCAAAATACTTTCTCCTACATTATATCACTACTTTCAGATGCAAGTGTAGTATGGAAGGCACTAAATTGCAGTAAAAAAACAATACTGAAAACATCTGATATTTTTTAAGTGAACAATGTAAAAAACATATAAAATATTAGTCAATGCATTCTGTACCATATTCCAAATAAATCATAAGAAAACAACTATGTAGAATAGCATTCACTAGGACCACATTGTCTAAAGTGATAGAGCAGAGGTATTGAAGAGCAGAGGTATTGAAGAGGCTTCTGGGCTCAAACTGGCTGACTTTTCGAGCATACCCTTTCATTGGTACAGTTAACATGCCCTGAGAGTTATTCCCTGGAATGCCCAGAGGGATTTGTCACAATGGCATCAGAAACAGTGGTTCGATTTTAGGAAGTTCAGGCAGATTGTTACAATTGCAATACAAACCTGGGCCTCGCAGCTGGCGAACATAGAGAGACTGAGAAAGAGGAGAGGACAAAGCTAAAGGGAATAATGTGTTTGTTATGCTTTCTGTAACCACAATCTGAAAGGATCCTTGTATATCTTGTTGCTCATAGCCTTATACCATGACCAGTAGCTGAACTGTTATCCTAGACTTACTGTGCAAGCACATATTGAGGAAATGGTGAAACAGAACCATATTATTTACAAGGCGAGAGAGCAGAATGACATCCATCATGAACATTATGAAGCAGGCAAGACTGGCCTAGTCTTGCTAGTATAGCAATACAATTCCTTTAGACACAAGTGTGCAGCCAAGTTGTGAATACGAATAATTTAATTTGCTTTTAATACTTGCTTTTCTATCCGGTAGGTCTGTCCTGTCACATCTTGTTGCTAGAACCAGCAATAAAAGCAGCATGCTAAAAGCTCACATAAATTTAATTCTTGGCTGTACCAGTCAGAATCAATCTAAGTTCAGACGTATCAAACATTCAAAACTGAACTTGTGGTACATCTGCACCAGTGATTTCAAAAAAAAAACAAAAAAAACAATACAGCCTCATTCAGTAAACTCTTTCATAACTCTGAAGCATCCCTCACAGACTTCTAGCACCTTGTGTGGACTGGTATAATGATGCAGAGGAGGTTTTTCCACCATGATAGCATTTCGCAATTAGCAGGTCTCTGAATGCAATCGCAAAGTCAGTCCACAGATGCCGAAAAGGCCTTTGACAGGGTGGATTGGAGGTACATGGACTCGGTAATGCAATATATTGGACTTGGTATTCGCATGAGGGCATGGATCGGGGGGATATATTCCCACCCATGCGCGGTGACTCCCTCCACCTTCAGATACACCTACTTATTGTTTCCACACGATCCCCATATACTTATATGTGTATAGGACTACCCTTCCTGAGTATAATCTGCTGGAAGACGAGATAGTTACCTGACAAATGGCTGTCGTATAAGCTCCAAACGATGAAGACATTACAACCACAGAATATGCTGCTGCAATGTTTATGTTATCACACTGTTTATCACCGGTCTTACCTGTATTACATATATCTGTCCTTCTCTTTTGTTTGGAAAAGACGGAAAACATTTGAAAACTTTGAAATAAAGAATTTATAAAGTAAATCACCCCCATTGTGTCACAGATAACAATGACTAACTTTTGGTGAATATAGTTCCTGACGAGAAGTAAGTTGGTGTACTTAGGATTCAATTATGACTGCTGCAAAGTCTTTAATGACCCCAAAGTTCTCATAGTGAACATACTCCATGCATTGTGAGAATGTATTGAATCTGGATGAAGATGTGTATGCTTGATCTCCAAATCTACAGCCCCAAAACGAAACAATTTGCTTTGCAAGTAGAAAAACAAAAAGAATAACTCGAATAACTTTTTCAAAAGTTTGATTGTTTATATTGCCTAGACATGTCTGTGCCATCACCTTTTTCATTGCCCATTATGAGGGACCGGGTTGCAGACATTTCTGTGGACTTTGGTCTAAGTGTTCAGGATGGTTTTAATTATCTGTGTAAACTTTCCCCATATACTTTTTTTTTCTCCAAAGTTCAACTTCCAAAAAAGGATCACAGCTTGCTTGAAAATGTTTACGTGTATTAAGCTGTCTAAGGAAGTAGTGAAAGTTAGCAGTAGCTGTCCACAGACATCTGTGAAATAAAGGTGTGTGAAGGTGGCCATACACTTTACAACCATCGCAAGACATTAGTCTTGTGATGGTTGTAAAGTAATTAAAAAAACGTACAATCTGCCCATCTTGGACAGGCAGAACGTACTCTCCATCATCGCAAGCCAGCCCCCCATTGACCGCAATGCTTAACGGGCAGTGTGCGCATGCGCACACCGGCCCGTTCGGCATTTGTCTCCCGAGCACCGTTCAAAGCAGCCGAAAATCGTACGATTTTCGGCTGGTTTTCTAGCGTGCTCCTTAGACAAAAGACGTGCGACCGTACAGTAGAAACGGTCGCACATCTTCGTTCACACTGCTCGATTCTCGTACGATCACGGGATTTCCCGCGATTCTCGTACGAGAATCGAGCAGTGTATGGGCACCTTTAGTTTGCATAGTAAAAATTGCACCTAAGTAAAAGCAAAAAAAAAATGATAAAGCAGAAAACACTTGTGCCCAGTAATATTCAAACACATTATGACTGGATTTGTACAGACCAAGGGAAAAGGTTGTGATAACTATGAGAAAATTAAGCCATTATCATCTTATATAGACAACATTAATACCTTCAAGTCTCTGTATACTACAAAGCGGTTGTGCATGTGTTCCAAGCCCAGGATAATTTCAGCAGCATAAAATCTCATCTCCTTCTCTGAGAAGACACCGTGTTGAGAGAGGTGGTAGTGCAAATCCCCACCTGAAATTCATCAGGAAAAAGTTACAACTAAAATCTAACAAATATGTCAACAAAATAATGATTTCAGTTACACCAAAAATTACCCATTTGAATAGTAGTATAAACAGTATAGAATATATACTCCAAGTTTTTAACACATGACTGCTTCAATTATAGAAGCTAAATATACAAAACAAATGTACAAGATCGAACAGACAACATATCAGAGTACATCAATGTTTGGGGATTGAAACATTCTTGGAAAAACATTTAGGGTATGCACAAGCCATGAAACATACTTATTTAATTTATCTAAAGTTTTTGGAGCTCTCCTTACTGCCAGAACTACACGTGTATGCAATTTCTACTGGAAACAATGGAGACTGTCGGCGAAGCAGGACCCGACCATGGCGATTTTTAAGAAGAGGTTGAGTGGCATTAAACAGGCTGCACAGTGAGTTTCTTGGTAGAGCTGGGGCAGGAGAGTAAGTAGCTTGTCAGAGATGCTGGGTGAAGGCATTAGGGCTGACTTAGTTGTAAGTGCACTAAAAGTGCACTTTCCCTTAAAAAAAGCCGCTTTGCATTTCACAGAGAATCAGACATAAGTGTAGCTATGGTATAACAAAAGAAAATGAATAACTGCATCACCGCATAAACAGTGAACAAACATTATCTTAAGAATCAGATTACCTAATCTACTCCAGTTCTGCTCCTATCATACTCTGCCAAGCAGTTGCAGGCCACCGGCTCAACCTCCTGTGACAGCTTACAGCTGTTTCCGCCCACACATCGCTGCTCTCATCTGCCACATCGCTGAGCTCTCCTCCCGCAGTGCCCCGTCCAGCCTCCTGTGACAACACTGCAAGTTGTCTCCGCCCCCACACCGCTCTCCTGATCTGGAGGCCGAGCGGTGCGCGGAGGAGAGACACCGGCCGCTCACAACACTCTCCTCCCCTACACTCCCCGTCCTCCTGTGACAGTTTCTATCCTCCATGCTGCGCTGTGTCAGTGGGGAGGAGAGAAACTATGGATGCACTGTTATTTCACCTGAAAGATGGTACTTTCGGCATTTTGCCAAAAGTGCCAATTTTGGCCGATACGTTTCTACGGCCCAAAATTTCTGTGCATCCCTAATATATACACAAACAAACAAACACACACACATAAATATATATATTAAATGTATTAGTAATTGTATCTGTGAGTACTTGGACAAGTATCAGTACTTGTCCAAGTACTCACAGATACAATTACGAATACATTTTTGTTTTGTGTCATGTAACAATATTTCTATAACAATACAGACTAATGATTTCAGGACAGTGGTTGAGCGCCAGAGCCCAGTCGCAGCTGCAACCGCTGCAGCCCTGGTAGGTCTCGTGAGAATGCCAAGTACCTGAACTGGTATCTGAACATCCCTAATATTATCCTCAGGAAAAATAAACACGGCAAAATGCTTCACAAAAAAATCCAATTCATTTCTAAGGCCCCTGTTCACACCTGAGTGTTTTGTCGCAATAAGCAAAACACCTGTTGCTGGAAACAGTACATGAGCTTCTTTTTGGCAGATTGTTTGTCCCCGTAGACTCGATAAGAAAAGATTGGAAACGCGCAATGCAATTATTTTTGCTCTCTTTTGCCCATTTACATCAATGTGCCATAATGTGTGCAAAAAAACATGCAGCAAAAGTTGTGATAAGCCATGAAAAACAGAGCCCCTATGACTAAAAGGTGACATAAAAGGCGACATACACAAAATGGAAAGGGGTAGGGAGTAAATGCAGAGGCATGTTGATATTGGAAAACACTGCATGGGCTGTGAACTAAACAATGTGCTTATATCTCCACTGCCACTGGAGAATGATAAAATAAGGGTGAGAAATTTCTCACCAAGCCGGCAGACTTTTCCCTTTACTGGGGTGCCCTGGGAAAAGGACAAAGTGAATAGTATTATTTATTTGTTCTATTTTGCACACTGTAATTTACAGTTTTACAGTGTCACCAATAAAACAATACTCAATAGATGATACTGAAAGAACGTAACAACAGTCATCAGATAGCACTGGAAATGTAGAATCTATAAAACAGCTATTGAGCAGAAAACGTTCTAAGCAGATTTATAAAGGCTTATTGGGCTGGCAGACAATGAAATGAATCTTAGACATATCCTAATATCTTCTTGCAGACCTTTCTTTAAGTGTTTCACAATGAATGGATGCAGTTTGCACCAGTTAACTTACATAACATTTTTTTGGCATGCGGAGAACAATGAATGCCAGTTATTATGAAACAAAGCTGTCTTCTGGGCTTCTAAAACTAATGTTTTCTTCTTCTCCTTATAATTACATAATGCCCTTCAAATTGCCTCCTTGAAAAATGATTGTTCTGATTAAACATAGTTAATGTCTTTGTGGGAGAGACAAACTGTCTACACCATGGCACAGATGTCAAGGATAAGCTAAATTTGTATAACTAATTGTATTTACACAAATCAAGTGATACTGAAAAAGGTAGAGGTGATATACAGGTATTTCTGTGGTTTCTCAGGAAATCTTGGTCCATCAATGTGACTTATACAGATAGTGGGAATACCCAACAATCTTGTTCATATTTTTGTGGTTCGGCCACATTCAAGCTAAAATAATCTCCACCATACAATGTACATTTGTACACCTGTACAGGTCTAACCAGCACCAAGAATATACTCCCGGAAAACAGCTAACAGAAAATAAAACTTGCCACTCTAACTTTACGGATACTGAAAGCTTCAGGTATGAAGTACAGGTATCCAGAGGTGCCCAAAAACATACCTACAGAAGCTTTTTGTATCCTTTGCTTTTCAAAAGCTGGAGGTTGATCTGAAACAACTTGCCATCATTATGATGGGCCATCTCACTGGCCAACAGAAATGTGTGGGAGGAGTCTATCAGAACAGAATGGCATTTAGTATTCTTAAAGTGGCAGAGCATATTATAAAAGGAATATTTTTGCCACCATGGGTTTACTGGGTAGGATTTCAGGCTCCAGCTAACATCGTAATTTTTTTTCAAGCTCCAAGCTTGAAGATCTCCCTTTACCCCTGACACAGTTGTACTTACCAAACTTAGCTGTTCAGCTGACCATTTTTTTAAAGGAAGTTCTCCAAATACAACTATGGAAGGGCCACAGGAGGGCCCCTGGCCTCTAGTGGATTCCTGAATCATGCAGGTGCATGGAAAAACCCATTAGGAAGAAGAATAACTAGGGATCAATGATACTGATCATATTTTGCAAAACAAATTGATGGTCAAGAAATCCAACCAAGATGATTACTGGTTCTCCAGAGAATAATGGCCAGGGGTATATGAAGCTGATCACATCATCCAATTTAGCATATGGCATGATTGTGTAAGAGCAGATTATCCGGTGTCTATGGGTGTTGCGGGTACATTAAGGCTACCCTTAAGTATAAGGTAGTGTTCATGAGGCTAGTGGTCTAATGTGCAAAAAAATTCACCAGTATTTTTCTAACACAAACATTTTTTACATGTTTTCTGTTTTTCTTTCCTGAATTCAACCCTATTATGTGATTACAATCTAAATGATGATGGCCTTCAAGAAATCTTAATTTTATATATTTTTCTGTGTGCTGTAAATGATTGACAACCCAGTCGAAAATGTTTCAACCTGTCTGACAGCTAGCTTTTTGATTTGCCCTTAAAGGGGCCCTTTACCCCTTTCATTAAAAATTACATCAGCATGCAGCTCTGCATGCTAAGCTAATCAAGCAATCACCCTGGATGCACGATCGATGCAAGAGTAATTGTTTTCTAACCGCTCGTAATCCTTTTAAATACGACTACATGCGTTGTTCCGGCGATTACACGCAGCATCTGTCACCCAATCATTAACTTGATCTGGTGACAGCTGCCGCTTGTAAATGGCAGATTAGGGGATCCTGCTGGAGGAAAACAGAAGTTCCTGACACAGGAATCCCTAATCGCACTCAAACTTACAGGTGTGAATGGGGCCTTAGATGATGTGCATGGTCATATATCCTAGTCACATGTGCCAGAGTTCCAGGAAGTAAAGGGAGATGGATTAATCTGCCTTTAGTAAAAATGGCCACGGTGAGAGGAATGGGGGGAAAAAGATATATAAGGTGCGCAAAGAATAAAAAGCATGTCGTTATCTTTAAGTATCTGTTTGTAGATCATCGTTACTAAACATTTCTAAAGGTGCCTTTCTTGTCATTTTTATGAGAAGGGTGAAGTTCCTATTTAATACCTATAAAATGTAGCAAAAACTGCCCGCATGTAAACTGATTCGTCTTCAATACTGTCACAATATTGAAATGATTGGATTATTCCACAATCAGATTGAAGCATGTATTGGTATCATTTGACTTTGCATCCGAGATCTTTTACTCAGGGGTGTCTGCTGCTGTCTAAGTAAGGTCCATGAACCCATCGCACTCAGAAACCGCCGTTTCCAAAGAAATAGGGGTGGGTACTACGGTAGTCGACGGCTGGCAACCATGGTAGATATCAAGTAGAATATGAAGAGACACCGACACTCCAATAGTGAATCAAATATGTCTGTTTATTTGACGTATGAGTAGCATAGTGGGATACACTTAATGCGATGTTTCGCGGTCACACAGGAAACCCTTCATCAGGCAGAACAAGTGACTTGTTCTGCCTGATGAAGTGCATCACACTATGCTACTCATACGTCAAATAAACAGACATATTTGATTCACTATTGGAGTGTCGGTGTCTCTTCATATTCTACTTGCTGCAGTCTAAGGTCACTTAATCATCACCCCAACCTGCAAAAATATGTATTTTTAATTAAAGGCACTGGACAGCATACAGACTTTCAGCACAATAAAGAACTGGAATAAAAATGCCTTACCATTCATCAGATCCAAGATGAAGCAGAGCTTGTCAGGCGTATGGAAGGCATAAGTCATGCACACTATGAAAGGACAGTCCTAAAAAAAAAAGATACAAAATAAAATTATCAAGAAAAATACACCAAATAACACTTTTAGTACCTTGTAGCAATGTATACAGCAATTGTACATAATATACTACACATGCACATGCATTATTTTAGGCAGCTACATACAGCATTTGAGATACAGTATACCACCACAAAATCTAACTATAAAAACACTACAATAAAGGTTTGATAGCAGTTAGATATCAACACTTGATCATCTAATCTGTATACACACTGTACACGTCTCTTTGCGAAACAAGACAAAAGTGGCCTACAGTACTTCCTATGATACCAAAAGGATATCTGCTGTAAATATACCCCATAATCTTCTAAGGCGTATAGGTAGCATAAGAATCCTATGGACTTAATCTAACCAGCTATTTGCAAAGCAACTAGAAAAGCAGAAAGTAAAAAGGTATCCATAAACTTAATCATGATTTCTGTTGAAGACCTCACACTCAAACACCTCCTTGTCAATATATTATAGAGAGATAGCCTGTTGCATGGGCTGGATTGTTCCTTACAAAAATACTTAGAAAAAGTGTGTTTGCCAGTTACATAAACTTGTACGTACATAAAAATTGCATGCTAGACAACTACTACTACTACTACTGTGATCTGGTCAACACTAAACTGATTTGACTAGGCTGTGGAACCTCTCCCTTGCTTTTGTTTTAAAACTCTCTCCCTTCCTCTAATTGTATGACCACTCTTACTCCACCTTCAATTTAGTACTAGTCAGCTATCTTCCAATTTAATCCTTTTTTAAACCGTTTTATTCAGTAACAGTCATCATCAAGATATGTACTTTGCTATATTTCACACAAAGGTGGAAAAAGCAACACCATATTAGAACCATTAATGCAGATGCTCTGCTTAAAAATGTTATAGATACAAACTTGGTTTCAGCATTAAAAATCATCCAACATGCAAAAAGTTAAAAAATATTAAAAAAAAGTTTATTATTCAAATAACATTATGCCAACATGCAAGCTCATTGAAGTCGATTGAAGTTGACAACAGTCAACAGGCCAAAGCATTACATTTTTTAAGTGGCCCCACTCAGCTCCTTCCAATTACTGAGTTCTGTCCACTGAGAGGAAATAATTCTGTGTAACAGAGTTTTTGAACAGCAACATGATTGTAATAGATAAGTACATGTTCCCAAAACAGACATAAGAAGTGGACACTGGGTGCCATAGGTTACAAAAGGAAGGTCACAGGTGCTCCAACAGGCAGAAATAGATTTATACAATGGTCATGTATCATTTGGAAAGTAATTTGGAGTTTTTTCTTTCATTTATCTGCAAGGTAAGTGAAGATATACGAACTAGGTGTAGTATGGGCTATATTTGATTATGACATCACAATATGGCACACTGTGAATTGGATGTTCAGCCAGCAAAAAGATGCATTCCACTTGAACAAGAATGGGGACATCTCCTTGATTAGCCTCCTGCTTTGAACTAGGAGAGCTTTCCACACCTGAACCCCCACTTCGTTCACATCCATACCTAACAAATAATAAAATCGGCCTGAGGCATCGACGGTGATCAAAACTCTTTGACCATTTCATGAATCGTGCAGCGGAACCTTTAAATCACACTCTAAAAAAGGACAAGCATTTCAATGTACAGCATCAGCCTCAGAGCTGCTTTGTCACCATCTTCTGGAGAATCCTTTAAACATGTACCATATCAACAACACACACATACAATATAAACAGGTATATTTACATACAGAGACCATGTATCACACCTTTCTGTACATAGCTCAGAAATATTAACATAACAAAAGAAAACTACCGTATGCAACAGATTGGTTCTGCACTAGCCAATTTCCCGAAAAAAAATACAACACAATGCATTGCTAAGCAGTAGTACAGAGGCACACTCCCTAGCAATGGCTGCCATGCAAGGCCACATAAAAGCCTCATCCTGAATGGGTCATGCTAATGCTTTCTTTTCTGTGCCATGCTCTGATATGCACTATGAATTTTTTATCAAGAGCTGTATGCGTCACTGTGTGGAGAAGGTGCCTGGATCTGTCATCAGAACCACAGCTGCTCCCTCCCCCTGCACAACTCCACTTCACCACGCTAAATACATTTCTTTCACGCTTTAATCAGGCACAAAGAATAGTGCAGTAAAGGAAACTGTGTTCGTTTCAAATAATTCTTTACATCTGGATGTGCTGAACTAAAATTATTATAAAATAAAAACAAAGACCAATAGTTAAGGCCCCTTTTATATGGGTGGTCTGATCAGATCCGCCTGTCAGTTTTTTTTTGTGGGTTCCTGCCACTAGTGGTTCACAGTCACTACTTTTTCCTGCAAACTCCAAAATACATCATAAGAGATTGGCAGGGATTTTTGTATCATAAAACAGCAATTAAAAAATGGCCCAGTTTGTTTAAGCCCAAATCTTATGACCAGTCAGAAAAAGAAATGGCTTTATCATAACAAGAGTGGCTACTTAGGATAAAATATTGTAATCAGCTGGCTAAATAATATAATTTGAAGCACAGCTCTGTGCTGACTGTTGTAGATAAACAAGTTAAAATGGACAATTTAATAACCCATCTACATGACTGCAAGTTATTATGTCTTAAAGAAAAGGCTGAATGTGTTTTTCTGTACAAGCTAATCATAACTGTGAAAAGAAGCACAAACCCACTGTGATACTCTCGTCATTACAGCTTGAGAAATTACCAATTAAGAGCTGTTTCTGTGGTATGGTTGATAAATGAGACAATGTATTATCACAGAAATTGATCAGACCTTTTGTTGCAGATAATTATCTGTGTGTACATGCCACCCGCTGACTGCGGTTATTATCCAGTGGGTCATGTACAAAATTATAGTGCAAGTAATTTGCAACACCTCTGCCTCTACAATGCAGAACAATCCTTTGTTATAAAAAGTTATGAGTGGCAGCTGACACTCTAAACATAAAACTTTTAATGGGATTAAAATTGCTGCTGTCGGGCAAGCGCACAATGGGTAAGAATAAATTATTCACATTTGCCATCAGCAGCCTTTGGTCTTCATACGTCTGTTTCATACCGCAATTCATTTTTTAGATTGCAAACATTATGATACCAGCCAAGAGTCTGGAAAAACAATCCACGAACAAGTGGTAATCTAATCGTTGTCTACCTCAGCTAGGTTTTACAGTTTCAGCAATTTAGATATGATCTTAAAATAGGTTTTATTCTCTGTTTCGGACATGTGTTTTGCTCATACAAGGGAAAGTAACAGGTCTGCTTAAAGTGGACTTTTACCCATATCTTTAAATAACAACAAACACACCTTTAGAAATGTTTAGTAATGACAAACTACAAACACATATTTCTAGATAATTGCAGGCTTTGTATTCTTTGCTTCCATTATTGCTCTTTTCTTTCCCTGCCTTCTAACAGCGGCCATGTTTACTAAGGGCAGATTAATAGATCTCCCATTACTTCCTGGATTTCTGGCACATGTGACTTGACATATGACCATGCGCATCATCCCAGAGGAAGAAAATGCCTTTCCTTGAGATCTCGTGAGATTATTATTATTATACAGGATCTATATAGTGCCAACAGTTTGCGCAGCGCTTTACAATATAAGGAAGACATTACAATCACAATACAATTCAAGACAAGATGGTAAGGAGGGCCCTGCCCGTGAGGGCTTACAATCTAAAAGGGAGGGGGAAGTGATACATGAGGAGGTAGCTGTGTGGGGATGAATTGTTTGAGAACGTGATGGTTGAGCAGTTAGGTTGAGGTGGGATAGGCTTCCCAGAAGAGATGAGTCTTTAAGGGAATGCCTCAAGGCAGTCAAGGTGGGAGACAGACGGACAGGTTGGGGTAAAGAGTTCCAGAGGATGGGAGAGACTCTACAGAAGTCCTGGAGGAGAGCATGGGAAGAGTTGACAAGGGAGCTGGAAAGCAGGAGGTCTTGGGATGAGTGGAGCGGACCGTTAGGGTGATACTTTGAGACAGGGTTTGAGATATAGCCGGGGGCAGAGTTGTGGATGGCTTTTTAAGTTATTGATAATATTTAGAATTTTATCCTTTGGGCGAGTGGAAGCCAGTGCAGGGATTCACAGAGGGGGGTTATAGACACTGAACGGTTGGTTAGGTGAATGAGTCTGGCAGCTGCATTCATGATGGACTGAAGGGGGGATAGCCTGTGTAGAGGTAGGCCAATGAGGAGGGAGTTGCAATAGTCGAGACAAGAGATAACAAGTGAGTGGATGAGCAATTTTGCGGTTTCTTTGGTGAGGAAGGGGCGTATCTTGGAGATGTTGTGAAGGCGGCAGGATTTGGATAGCATATGGATGTGGGGAAGAAAGGTGAGGTCCAAGTCAAGGATGACACCTAGGACCTTGGCATTGGAGGAGGGTTGGATAGTTGTGTTAACAATCTCAAGGGAAAAGTTGGGGGAAGGTGCACGGGCAGGAGGAAATATCATGAGCTCAGTTTTTGAAAGGTTGAGTTTTAAGAAGTCTTGCGACATCCAGACGGATATGTCATTTAGTAAATTAGTGACACGCAAGGACACTGAGGGGGTGAGTTGTGGAGTAGAAAGATAGATTTGAGTGTCACCGGCATAGAGATGGTATTGGAAGCCATGTGAGGTTATTAACTGACCAAGGGATGAGGTGTAGATATAGAAGGGGTCCAAGGACAAAGCCTTGGGGGACCCCTACAGAAAGATGAAGAGGGGAGGAGTTAGAGTTGTAGGTGATGCTAAAGGAGCGCTTAGATAGGTAGGAGGAGAACCACGAAAGAGCAGAGTCTTGTAGCCCAAGTGGGTGGAGTTGAGGAGCAGGTAGTCAACAGTGTCAAAAGCAGCAGAAAGGTCTAGTAGCAAGAGTAGGGAATAGTGGCCATTGTTTTTAGCTGTTAGTAAGTCATTAGTGAGTTTTAGGAGGGCGGTTTCAGTGGAGTGTAGAGGGCGAAAGCCAGACTGTAAGGGGTCGAGAGGGTTGTTATCA